GTATATTTTCAGATTACACGATATAGCTCCGAAATATGCTAACCATTTACACCATTTGGAATTTTTCGAAAATCATCAATTCCCATTTCCTTTTGTGTTGAATTGAAAGTGCAGTGGTCCGTTCCTACTAGCTGCAGCATTAATATAATAGGACCAAACCAGCTTTTATCAGAGCATGAGATATGTATATGGACTTTTATTCCTATCCAATTTCACTTGTGAGCTTTATGATGATGAGAGCAAACCTGTAGAATCCCGGTTGAGAGAGCCGCTTGAAGAGCCTTACCATGTCCAGGTGCCCTAATAGGTGGACTCATGACAAACCTGAATATTCATAATATCACACAATGACGTGTATGTTACTCGAATTTGTCGAAGAGTAAACGATAAAGAATTATAAGGGGGAAGTTATGCATTTCCAAATAATAAGATGTTATTTCATCCATCTAAAAGAATCTCTCTCTCTCTCTTCTTTTCTTTTTTTTTTTGTTTTGTTTTGTTTTGCTAGTGCTTTGCACACTCCCTAGGAAATTGGAGAGAATAATATAAAGAGTTTCTTGGAAGAGGAAAAGGTTCTTGCTTTGCTGCTATCTGAAAGTCGGGATCCCAGAGGACTGTATCGTCCAAAATTAAACCTGAAACAACAGGCTCTCCAATAACCTTCTGACCTGCATCCAAGAGCAAGTGTAAATTTTCTCACATAAAAAAAATGGCAATTTCAAGATAAAAATCCATTAGCATCTTTCAGTAGCCAAATTCATTTTTTAATCAAGCATACAACTGTATAAAAGTTAAAAGTCTCTCCTGAGAATTTACCAACAGAAGAATCAAACTTATTAAACATGACCAACAAAGCAAGAAGCTTGTTATCTGGGGCAATTTTCACAGAGTAATGATTTTTTTTTTTTTTTTTAATCAAGTGATAAAAAATGGCAGAGTGTAATACAAAATATGAGAAGCCAATATTTAACCAGCCAATAATGAATTGGTAAGGCTGAACCTGATTTTCGAGCTTTAGCTATTTCCTCCATCGCATCAATGCTCATGACATGGACAACATACAAAGGAGTGTTCACGAAACCTGCCAAACGTATAGCTCGACCAGTGGCCTCACCTTCTAGCTGCATGATATCTAACCAAAATTAGTAGATATTACTCAAAAAATAAGTAATAAAAAATGAAGTATACAATGACCAAGACTGACCATACTAGTACTTTAATAAGTGCCTTAGTTTTATGCTATTGGTTCCTAACATTGGCTACTCTTCAAAATAAAGGGAAGGACAATAATACAATTTCAATTTACATCTAAAACCATTCAAAGTAACTAGAAAACTGAGGTTTTATTCTCAAAATACCAGGTATGTCAAAACAGTGAATCAGATCAATTCAAGGTGAAAAAGATTTTTATTTCATCAATTCAGCCTTGGCAAATTCGACATATGAAATGACAGATAACTGTAACAAGCTGATGCGTGGCATAGAATCAGAAAATGCGGGCATATACGATGAACTTCTTCTAAAGAATGTTTCTCTCACCATTCTGCAAAGGCCATTCACAGGGGGAATATGAGAACAACGGGAATAGCCATAATATACACACAGAAAGGAAAACGATATCTAAGTTGGGGAAGGTCATATAAAATTCTGCAGAATCTGTGAAACTTAATTCCAGGCGTGTTTACAATTTAATAATAGGTTTACCAAAGTAACAAAGAGACGTATTATGA